AAAAGCTGCTGTTGCTCTAATAACACCTAAGCAGGTTGTAACCCAGGAGATATTATAATTGTTTCTGTTTCACCGTGTGGCTTGCTTAATTATCTTAGGCATCAAACACCACCAAGCTGCATTGGTCTATAACCTAGAAGAGTATAACTGTCCTTAATGGGCACCCAAAGCCTGATGTATGTAAATTCTAACACCCTAATCTACAACCCTTTTCACTTTGTTGGAAAATGTCAAACTGCTCAAATGCTGCAGTAAAAGTGTAAAGCCCACGGGATCTAATTACAGCCAGTCAGTGCACAGATAAGAGATTTATAGGTGAAAAGGCCGTGCACATGTGCACGCTGAGGCTGCCCGCAGACACTGTTTACATGACCTTGTTTGAAAGATGAGAATTGCTGTAGACTTACGCCACAGACCACTCAAGCAGATCCTTGGGCTGAGTCCGGATGGCAGCCTTGGTGAAGTTTTTGAGGATGTTGGGCAGCTCAGGAGGGATCCTGATCTGCTCAGGACAGTACGTTGTCTCAGAAAGTGGCATGACTGCAACACAAAACTCTGCACTGTATCACTGTGAGATATAGACAACGTTAAGTGTGTGGAAAGACGTAAACACGCCAACTTGTCTCCTAGCTCTTCTTTGGTGTGTTATGGCAGGTTGTGTTCGTAAACTTTTAATTGCCTCATCTTCCCTTTCCTATTTTTGTTCCCGTCTCCTTTGTTGTGATGTCGTCCTTTTATCCTTTCAACTTGCTAGTTTCAGCTTGACGGTCGAACTAAGTAGAGATTTCTATATGCTTCCTCCTTTTTCACACAGTGGTTGATTGGTTCTCTCTTTTTTTCTCCATTTAAGTTGAAAAATAATCCATTCAATTTGACAAATGGTGAAAAATAGTCATTTAACCATCAACAATGTAGAATCTATACTTTCAAACGTCTTTGAACAGGAATATCAAAATAGAAGAGACCATACAGTAAATGACCTCAAAAGTGACCTAATGTTTACTTTTTAATCTATTCTTGTTGTTCTGACATCTAAATTGGGGGAATTTAGCCACATTTATATTAATAAAATGTAGGATTCATGTTAAAGTAATAAGAGTGAAAGTAATTTAAAAACAAACAAACATTGTTATTCATATATTTTATATCTAGGTATGTTATAGCAATCTCCTTTTTATTGTTGATACTGAGAAACCAGACACAGTAGCCTTTTATTCACGTCACTGTTGTACTGTAAGTATCATAAGTAGGTAAATAACATTGAAGCTGGATTAGAAATAATACCAGTGTGTATTACCTTGAAGGCGTAGGTATCCGCAAAACAGGTAATTACTCTAATTAGGAGTTTTAAAATGAAAAATGATTACGATAAATAAACATCAGACCTTACTGAAAGGTCCGTTATTTCGGCAATTGTTATTGTTATCAAAAAACAATGAATAATTCTGTATGAGTCGCTATGCTGCTGACCCCAGTCTAGGTTGACAAACATTGAATACGACTTGAATAACCGTTAAAACACACACATAAACGTTAAATAATAAAAAGTCTGGACGTTACCTGCGAATGTGCACAAAAGCCGTAAGATGTAAACAGAAAAAAAAATATGACTAGCGAAAACCGACTAATTGTATTTCTAACATTGTCAATGTATCGACAAGACCTATCGTCGCATAGCAACGTCGCTTTTCCTCGTTTTATTCAACGTGAAGCACAGTCATTTGTAGTTTTTTGCCGCCCCCTACAGGTGGGAAAGCGTCTTTATCCACAAAAGTCACAGATGAAGTAAGAAATTAACTTTTTTTTACAAGGACTGTTTCTGGCATATGGAAAAGTCGACGGGAATTTCTTAGCCGAATTTATCTCGACAGTTTTATTTTTAAATATCTAACTTTGTTTCAACTGTATTTGACCTTTTTTTATTTTCATTTTTTAGGGTTGTTCAAATTAATGTTAGAAACACTTGCCTTAGGTGATGCATTTAGTCCTGTATATATTTGCATAGTATTCGTATAGCATTATACATTACTAATGTATTGTATTACTATGTCTGTCCTTACGAAAAATCTTTAAGACATTGCTAATTATACACTACAATAGTCGTAACGTCATGTTCAATTGATGATACACACGGACAGCAATCAAGTAGAAGATTTTATTATTAAACAGCATCTTGAAAATAACGTTTACACAGATGTGATTAGAAAACAAAACAACTATCAGGGTTTGATATCTGGACAGACAAGGACAATTTAATAAAACAAAATGACCCCAACCACAAAAGTAGAGAATCTATCACAGACCAAAGAGACACATGCACATTCACACAATCACTGGCAAGTGCAAATATGCTGCAGCACATGAAGAATATGCTCTTTTAGATTCAGATAGCATGACATCAAAAGGGGATAAGGAATGTCACCATTTGTCCAAAATCGATTTTCCAGGAATAGTACATGAAGGTTCCACATAAACATCTCGTGTTTGTATCATTAAAGGTCTACTTTTACACATCTGGTAAAATGCCTACTACAGCAGTCATGTTAGATTGAATTTTTTCAGGCTTTATCTGTGATGCAGGTGGAAGTACTTTAGTACTTCACTCATAGTGCAGGATACTAGTTGTGGTGCTGTTTTTGTCCACTCAAGATGACACAATGATGGGTGGTCCTTTAAAATGAAAGCAAAACAGCATCGACCCCTGGCATAGAAAGTGGATCTAAGGTCAAGTGCCTTTTGGTCCACTGGTAATTACTCTAGGAGTTTGATGCACTGAGTTGAGTTTTTTATGATAGTACGTACATTCAGATTTTGGAAAAAAAGTGACAGCCCTCAGGAGAGCCATGTACTACATACAACACGGTTTCTTGTCTGGATGTGTTATACAGAGCGAAGACAAAAATGGTTTCTAGAAAGTAAATAATACAATAATGAATAAGGACAGAGAACAGAAAAACAACACAGGTCATGTGGGACTAATGTGTGACCTCCTCCCTCATGTACTTCTTCTATAAAAATAAGACTGTGCTTCCCAAAAACCCACCCTGGACAAACTCTTGTGCCTATAAAACTATGTATAATCGGATAGAAGCACTGAAACATCTGGACTGGAGGCTCCTCATCCTCACTTGTATGAACTCATCTCTACCTTTCCCTGGACTCAGTGTTGGCCAAGTTGCCTTTTAAATGATTGCTGTATTGTATAAAATTTGTGTTGATAGACCAGAACAGGAACAAGCCTGTCTTTGGCTGGCAAACCAAAAAGTCTTGTAATCTTGTATGAGCATAAAACCAGCAACTTGTGCTTCAAAATGATACATTCTGTTTTGCAACTCATCAATGTTTAACAGTGAACCATACAAACAATGTAAGAGGGTGATGATGCCAAATAGTCAATGTGGTTTATTTTTTTGTTTTTTCATCCTGTGTTTTGTTTGTTCTTGGCTTGCACCTTCAATTTCAAATCTAGCCTTCCCACATTTTTTGGGAGGTCAGCCCTGGCCCAACGAACTTGTCAAAATGCTCAGCTGGTCAGTCACAGGGATTTTCCTTTCTTTTCCAGTTCTATCTCTTTCCTCTTTTGTTACCAGCAGGGGGCTTCTTGAGCTGAAGTGGGCCTCCTGTGCCAAAGCCAGCAGCAGGAGGGTTGGACACACCAAAGGTCAGGCCAGCCGACGGGTTGAGACCAGGACTACTGAAGTTAAATCCTGAACTGCTGGTTGTACCGAAGCCTAGAGAGACAAAAAATAAACAAACAGGTAAGGATGAGAAGAGGTTAATAAAGATGATAAATGATTATCAAAGATTCTATCCAGTGGATAGTTTGGTATACCCAGCCTGAAACGTACTGTCTTCCAGACAAGTTTAGTCTGACCCTCACTGTACTTTCATTATTTCAGATGCTGCCTATTGTTTGGGCCACATGATCAAGGTGTAGACTGGACAAAATGTGTGTACCTGCACTCAGACTGCCCCCTGTGGGCTTATTGGTGGAGAATGCAAAAGAACCCCCAGTGCCCACACCACCAAATCCAGGCCCACCACCAAAACCTGCAGAACAAAGTAACACAGGTAAGCTTGTGCTAACACAGCCGACACTGTAACAAATACATGCAGTCATTCCCCACACACAGATATTGGCAGATGTTAGCAAAAATTAGAAAAAAATGCCATTGGAACTTAAAATGTAGCCACAGGAAGCTGGACGGCCAGAAAAGGTTGAAGAAGCAAAGAACGCAACTTTTTATCCCTTAATCAAGTAAACTAAAAAGTAAGATGTCGCCAAACATTTCGAAGATTTTTCAAAAATGAGAGAATGTCAATTTTTTAAATGATAAATTAGCTTCATTAAGGGCAAAAAGAAATCTGTCCATCAGTGACCTAGAGCAAGAGTTTGATCCATGTCAATGTAGTATGAACGCACTGGACCAATGAAATAAAGAAACGAACTGGCCAAGCACCAACTGCACTGTTCTTTCAAGCCCACACACACCTATTCTAAAAGACCCTGACCTTGCACATTAAACTGTGTAAAGTAAGGGCAAATTAAAAGAGAACGAAAGAGCCAGAGGTTATACCTCCAAGGGTGGAAGAGCCCAGGCTACTGCCCACTGCTGTGGCAAAAGGGTTTCCAAAACCTGATCCCAAGGGTGCCTGCGTCCCTAAGGCATGGAAAGAGAGCACATCTTTTACTGCTCTGATAATGTTAATAAAAAACACTATTACCTTTAACAAAAATTGATTCTGAAAGCTTGTATTTAAATGAAAAATCCTCATTGTGCTCCACATACAATCCAGTCCAACTGTCCCTTGCGCATTCAGCATATCACAGATATAATCCTTTAGAAATAAGTCTGGTACTACATGGATTTAACTCTGCTGTAGTTCAGTTTTAAATTAACAAGGTTGCTAGTTCTTTCACTCTGAAACTTGTCTTTTTCTCAATGTAGTTTTGTCATCCAATTTAGTCTGCATGGTTGCCACAGCTCGAGTCAGAAAGAAACAAGGACAAACGTTTCTTTGTTTAAAAAAAACTGATTTATTTCAATATGCAAGTCCACTTACATAAAACACAAACAAACAGTTTAGAACAGATTTGATTGTTAATCACTAATTGCTACTGCATTCGACAAGTTTCAAACGTTCTGAGAGTGAATGAACTAGCATACGCCCCAGAAAAAGGATCACACGATTATTGAATATAGCTTAAAAAGGCACACCATATTATTTATATATTACCTAAACTGTATCAACGGGCATCGGTTATGCAGGTCGTTACACACGCATATACAAGTAAAAGCAATCAGGATTGATTTTAAAAAAGTTCCTGCCTCTCAGTGTAAAATCAGTTGAAATAAATAAAACTGAGTGAAATGGTTTGCTCTTGACAGTCAATGATACTGTACTGACTCAACTGTCCACCAGTGTCTTCTCTAACATTGTATGCAGTGAATGATCTCTAAGCAAGGAAACGTGATCGAGATGAATGATTATAGACACCAAAAATTATTTTCTGCAACATAAACTGAACCCCCAAACAGTAAAAAAAACAAAATTATTTTCTGCAACATAAACTGAAAAAAGTAAAGTAAAAAAAATAGTATTAGGAGTAGTACCTTCTGAAAGTAGTGAGAAGTGATACACAAGACTGTGGTTTAGGTTTATACAAGTATAATGGACTGAAACAAGTAAGGTTGCTTGTGTAAGAAAAATTGAAAAATGTGAAAGCTTCATTTTCCAAAACCAGAATCTCTTATTCAGAAATACTGTGTTTTTCAAGATCACTTCATCTAATAGACAGACAGGTAAATGAGATTCATTCTGCTGTTTTAAAGTAATTCAGCAACACAGCAGTCAGTGCTAAATGCCTAAAATTAAGAATGGGACTGTTAAACATTAATGCGATGTATTAACCGCTGTGATCAAATTTAGAACCAGTCTGCCAGTGTAATGTGGAGATCTGGAACCACGTTTGTTTTGGTGATGCTTGTTATTATGCTAGAAGTAAGAAATTCAGCCCCAAATTTTCCTCTGACAATCCTCACAAGAGGAGCGTCAATCGGGGTGCTACCCAATCAACACTGCTATAGTCAGCAATTAAGAGATCTAGTAGTAGTAAACGAAACAAAAAACATATATACTTTTTTTTGTAAAACTAAATTCATAAGTTATAGATCACTGCGTCTTAATTTCCACAGTTTATAATGAATGAAAACTGCAAATAACAAAGAGACATGGACGCGTGTCGTGACATTCTGTTGTCAACTTCATTTGGCACCGATGGATTTTACTGGCACAGAAGAACCAGTGTGAGCAGCAACATTTGTTTTACTTCTATTCCAGCCACAGTAGTAGGGCTCGGCCACAGAAAGTTTTCCCCCTTCTCATGTCTGTACAAAGTACCACCACGATAACTAAAATGATTCCTGATATCACATATATGACAGTACTTTCTGATTTTTTTATTGAACTCGTAGATATTAATTAATCCAGCCATGTGACACCGACAGTAGCCCTTGTGTGAAATAGCTTAAATCAAGTAACAGTGTAATGGCCTTGTTCAATCAACCCAGTGACTCAATAGACTCTCTGTGTCACTGTTGAATACTAATACTGTACACAAACCTCCGGCAGCTGATCTTTGTTCATAACTACATCATATACAAACACACTGAGCTCATGTAGCCCAGCAATAGATGTCAAAAAAGTACAATCCTTATTAAAAGTTTCACATCTACTTCCACGGGACTGTGTGTGGATTTTTGTGTGCAGGAATGGAGAAAATGTTAAATGTATCAATTCAGGAAATTTAAAAGTTTCAGCCCTGAGTCTTTTGGCAACTTTCACCTAATGTCCTGCAACAAATCAAGTCAAAATAGGCTTTTGGCTGCACAATCACCCACCACAAAAATAAAGGCCAGTCAGATATGTCTGGTGTTAAGCTTGTCTAGCTGATTGCTTAGTGTTGTATGTGCTTTTGGTATTAGCCCCTCTCCACTACACAATTTTTCACAATAGGTAAATAAATACTGAAGACCTAAAGTAATCCAAGTGCAACCTGTTTCTTTGTAGAATTTGTTAAATCCTCAAGAATGACACACTCTTTGGCAGAGCTTAGAATGTATGTACATGTATGTACTGGATTTTGTTTGATAAATAATGGAAAATGAATGTTTATTCAGAACTTCTATAATGTTGACCATGCTGCTTTTAAAACCACATTCACTTTAAGTATTGCTTTTCAAACGTAATTTCTTTCAAACTCTACTAGATAAAGACACACCAGGAGCATGCTAATATATTATATGCAGTAGCTTATTTTTGTTTCAACACTTCAGTGTCCTGACATGCCAATTAAATGGCCCACCAATCAAAGTCTATAAAAAAGACCAGTATTTCCAACATCACAAAAAAAGTAAATAAATTAGGTACTCAAAAAGTGTTTACTTAAGGTTATTTTATGTACCACTGAATATATTTGTGGCCATAACACTAATGTGGTGGGTGGAGGATAAATACCTGAAGTATATATACAAATCTGTGTTTCAATGTTAACTTGCTAACAGAGGTTTAACTTCGTTTAGTTAGTAAGAATAAATACCTGCACTATATTAATATTGGATATTAATACTGAGTAAAATCTGCTTTACTTTACTAAGCAGTAAAATGTTAAACTAAAGAAGCTGCATGTTCAAAATAATATTTTGAACATAGTAATTGTCATTCATTTTTAGTTTTTATTTACAGAAAGAAAATGTCAAGTGCTCTTGATTCAGATCAACCTGTTACTAATGAGAGCACAGAGTGAAGACAATGTCCACTGTTGATAAGTGCATGTGTGTGTTAATGTTTGATCTGGATTAGTGCTAACACAGCAACAATATTATTCATTATTCATCATTCTGTTCACACTCTGTTCACCCATCTTTACAATTTCATTCAGCTTTAGTGAGGCACACAACCTAAACCTAACCTTTCACAGAGCAGATGTAAGGCAGCACAGAGGCCACATGTTTCCATGGTCTCTGTCCATGTCCCGGTTTCAACATTTCTTTTCTTCAAATGAGAAACCATGGACAGATAAAATTGCTTTGCAGCGGCTAACCTCATTTCTATTCTTTTGGAGAATGTTTATGGTGTACTTTACAAAACTTCAACATTTCCCCCTCTGCTTTTAACTCTTTCAGATGTTCTAACAAAGTGAGGTGAAGAAGAACTTTCTAGAACTTGTAGGCTGTCAGACCTGGATTTGGCTGCTGTTGCTGGGTCAACGTGGCTGCCATGGCAACTGCTGCAGCGTTGGGCACACTGGAGAAAGGGGCAGGCCCTGTTGTGACTCGTGGCGTGCTCTGCCACTTCCTGTTGGACGCTCGTTTGGACTCAAAGATGTCAGTGGAGTCTTCGAGGAAGGCCCGACGATAAGAGAGGTACTGGTGCTTTAAAATCTGAAACACACCACAAAGAAAGGAGACATGTGGTTTCAGTTGTTGTCAACAAATTGTTTAGTCTTTATGAAAAAAAGACAACAGGAATATTTTACAACATTTTTGACAAAATCCACAGGTAAAGAACTGACCTTGACGTTTTCATGAACAGACTGGAGTTGTGCAGCCTGAGCAACAAATGTCTGGTACAACTTCTGCATGGCCATGGTTAAGTCTGACAAGAAAACATTTAAAAAGTTAGTCAAAGAAATTGACAAAAAAAAACGATGTACGATTTTAGTATATTTTGGAGTTAACTTTGAAAAAGTACAGCATTAAGCTTAAAAGCTGTATATTATCAAAAACACAGATCCAATCTATATTACCCTGAGGTGTAATGTGGGAACCGGTGCTCTGTGTCGTCAGGTGATTTTCCAGCTCTTCTATTTGCTGGCGGTACTGCTGCAGCTGCACCTCAAACTGCTCCACTAGACTGCGAAAGTAGCTGAACACAAAAATGACACATTTTAAATTCTTGTCCCAAAAACCTATTATACACGAGCAAAGGTCCTTTTTATTATAAAGCAAGATAAAATTAAACAGATCGTGCTGCTGTACAATCCCAATAGATTTGCTTCGGTTTGATTTTCTGGAGAGCCTACTTACTCAGATGGAGCAGTGTTTTCATGTTGAAGTCCAGGGGGAGTCTTTTGTGTTCGCAGTGCTATGTCAGCATTTTTCAGCTCCTTGGAAGAGAAGGAAACAAGATAGAGTTTCTGTAAAGAAATAACTGTGGACTGTTTATGCTCCAATTTCAAGCTGACCATAATCACCTTGGGGTATAAAGTTTTTATCTTATGAACAGGAACAGGATACAACAGGTTATTTGAAGGAAGTCGCTTTTACTTCTGTGCATATGAGTAATGCCTCCTGCTTTTACCTGTGCAGTTTCCAGTTTGAGTTTGTCGATACCCAGAGCTTGGCGCTGCAGCCCACTGGCACTGACAGAAAGGAGCTGTTTCAGATTCTTGATGTCCTCCTGGACTTTACAAATAGCCTTAGACGACATCCTGCTGATGTCTTCTTGAACCTGTTTCTGCTCTTTTACAAATTTTCTAGAGAGCGATGATTGAAAATGCCATTAGTAGAAAACAACCAACAGTACACACAGAGATATATTTAAATAAAGTTAGACTTAACATTGTATAAAAGCAGCATATCTCATGGCTAGTTATAACCAAAAAACAGCTAAAACAAAACAATGGGAAATGTAATGTAACTAATATTAAGAGTTCTAGCATGCTCTGCAAAACTTCTGAACTTAAATCAGTGTGTAATAATGTAATTAACTTAATATAATAACATAATAATCATGTTCAATATCACTTACTGAAAATTCTCTACATCTTGACAAATGATGGGAGGCAGGTTTTCATCTTTCAAAGCTTTACTGTCCCTGAGGAGGAGAAAGAATGTGCAACCGTTACATCATTTCCCTGTGTTCTACACTTAAAACAGTTGTTATTCCCAGAAGTAAGAGTGTGCTCAAACACAACACCCTTCTCTTTTTCAGTTTCACACCTCCCCTGAATTGCTCTAGCACCACCTAGAGGAGGTAGGAGTCACATTTACGCTGACAGGAGGTTAACAGTAAAACGGTTAAACCCTGGACATTGGACATTTAAGTCCATTTTCTATGTTGACCCAAAAGACATACTGTGCATTCGCCCCAGATGATGAGTCACTCTTATTTTCTGAAGAAGTGCTGAAGTCCACTCCACCAAGGCCAACACTAGGGGCCAGAGCAGCTGAAACTGTCGTGGATGGAGCCAATAGGGAACCAAATGTTAACCCTGCACCTCCTCCGAGTGTGGTCTGACCGAGCCCTAAAACACCAAGGAAATATATGGGTTTTAACAGTACAACTTACAGTACAAGCAAGTTTTATAACTACATTTGAAACAGACAAAACCAAAGAAAGCTTAAAATATAATCAGTTTCATCCTTTTAAATGGAGCACAGTCTCAGTTTCAACCACCGTCACTTTTTAAAATAGGAGAAACCACATAGGCTGTTCTGTTTAGTACCTGTAGAAGCAGTGTTGGAGAAAAGACCCCCACCCAGTGAAGGGACAGTTGATGCTGCTGTTGTGGTTGTTGTTGCACCAAGACCAAGAGTGAAGGATGTGGCAGCAGGCTGCTGTGGGGCGGTAGATGTAAGGATGGAGCCAAATGATAAACCTGCACCAGCGGGCGCTGATGAGGTGGTTGCGGTCGCAGTGAGGGAAAATGGTGTTGCAGATGCAGTAGGCTTGTTGAACGGCAAGCTAAAGCCTGTAGCAGCTTGTGTTGTGGCTGTGGCACCTAGAAGAAGGGTTGGATACATATGAAATTAGACTTTTTTTGATTTAGGTCCATCTCTTCAAAAACAATAATTTTCTAAAATCAGCTATCATTTGTAGTGTGATAGGAGAAATCCTACATTGCCAAGAAGCTCCACACAATGTATGATTTACCATGGGAATTTTGTTTTTGTAAAAAGCACAGTTGTAAATACAATGGCTTTAAAATAATGTTTAATATGTGGTTATTTTCAAAAAATAGTTTTTCACTCCATTATTTTTCTATTCACGAAACATTAGGTTTCTGTTAATTTTCTTGTTGACAGTTGATAAACACGTTTTTGTTTGTTCTTGTGTTGAACATGAGAACATACATGCATCAACATACATGCATCTCTGCTGTTTTATCATTTGATTTTAAAAACAATCTATAAGCCTACAAGTATACAATCAAACAGTTATTACTTGAGGCAGGTGTGTTAAAAGAGAACCCTAATGTAGGTTTCTGGCCAAAGAGACTTCCTCCCAGGCCAAGAGGCTGTGTCGTGCTGGTGGTGGAGGCTGGGGTCGCAGCTGCAGTTCCTAGTGCACTTCCAAAAGAGAAGCCACCAGTGCTGGCTGCAGGGGCACTATCAAAAAAAGAAAACAGTAGGTTTAGTTGGAATGATGAGGGGAAACAAAAGGATTAACCATTATATTCTTAAGCTAGTATTACTAATAATTTTGTGAGTGACGAAACCTTAATATAACTGAATAAAATAAATCTATGTAATGTTTTATTATAATTAGATTTATAATATGACTATCACATTGCAAATATTACACTTATCATTCTATGCAGGAAATAAATTAACCTTCCGTTATTGCAACTAATCCCTGAATCAGAATGCTATACAGTAAAACCAAAGCACACTATAACTGATGACAGACATGAGTATAAAGTGGACAGGGATATAGTTTAAGTCAGTTGAGTAATGATAACGGACACCACACGGCCGCCACGCTTCAGCTTCACGGTTATAACGTTAGCAAAGTAACTGGCGTATAAATATGTCATTACCTTGTTGTTGCTCCAAAAGTGAAGCCACCGCCCATGTTTGTGGCTCCAAGAGTCCCCGAACTAAAATTGAAGCCCGACATTTTATTTCAAAAGGCGCACATTTATCCCCAACACGTTATTTGGACTTAGCCGTTTTCAGCACGAGCTTTACATCACAGCTAGCAGGCTAGTTAGCCTTAAATAAAACTAAAACCTTTAGTTTTGTCTTGACGAAGATCAAACTAAAAAAATGTCGGTCCAAGTTGTCAGTTGTATTTAAATGTAAGTATTCCTTTTTAGAATTTAAAGCGGCTAATTGTTAAATATAGGACTTATCGCCTGGTGCTGTTTTTCTTTTGCCCGCCTGACATTTTCCGTAGACTATTGCATTTTGGGTAAGAGGTAATTCAAACTACGTTTCCCATCGGGCTTATCTCTGCCGCGTGATGTCGGATGAACTTTGCTGTTTCCGGTCGCCTCGAACGACACATCAGCTGAAGGGAAAAACACAAATACATTCCGTTATGTTCTTCAAATTAAAAGACATGGGTTGTTTTACTATGGTTGTCGCGATTGGCCGTGTGTTTTTATGTGAGTGTCTGATTTCTATTTTTTCATCGCCTATCTTACTTAATATATATATTTATATATTATTAATAATGTGTAATTAATAATTAATAATATTAATATATTGTTTGAGGGACATTAACCACAATGTTGCATTGCATTCCTACCAACTTCTCAAAACTGCAGTTTGAAAAGATCAAGGATGAATTTCAAACAGAAGATGAGGAAAAAAGTATTAAAAAATAAATAATCAGAACTAGCTAACGTTTGTAAAACTTGCAAAATAGTTACAGTGTTAAGTTACGAATTCGCGATAAGATGTAAAACCAGAAAATGCTTTTTTAAATATGATACAGCATCAACAATGTTTAGGGTGTGACCATATTTTAGCTCGTACTTTTATTTTTGAAAACTCACACTTGCCGGGATTGTGGGTTGAAAATATTGGCAGCATTACGCGGATGGGAGAGCAGAGAAATAATTGACAATATAATACATATTCGTATGCCTCCGACAAAGTATAGCTGGTTTTGTATCGCATTGTCCTCCGTAACACTATCAATGATAACGTTTTGTGTAGTAAGTGTCGTTTAAAGATTTGCAGTCGCTGACAGCTGTTCTAACTGCAGAGGAGAAATGGAGCACATCCGGACGCCGAAGGTAGCTAACATTTTTAGCTAAATTCGAATAGATGTGATAACGACAGCAGTCCGGCCTTGCCTTTGTGGGTTTGTTTACGCTGTGTTGTCGTTTAATTATAATTTTCTACATAACATTGTGTATACGAAACGTTTGAGAAGCAAAGTCATTGAATGGCTGTAGCAGGTGTCGCCAGCAGAACGTTGACGTGACAAGCATCAATGAGCTGTTTGTTTTTGACTGAACAGCAAACAGATAGATCCTTATTGTAGTGTAACCTGGTTATGACAAAGTCAACATTACTCGAGAAGGGCATCCTAAAAGTAGCATCCGTCAAAAGCATTTTGACGGATTGATTTAAACAGAAATACAGATCTTTACAGTACTGTCTTTACAGTGCACCACCAGGGTGTTTACACCAGCGGCGTGTTTACCAATATTTTGAGGACGGTGCTCGAAGATTTAAAAATTATCTCAAATTTAGACCTTTTACCTGATGTCAATAGGGCTGGGTCGACGTCCATCCTGAACCTCCTTTAGAATTTGTATTCAATTTCTACATAAATAAATCGAATATTGATGAAAAAATATGGTGTTTCACGGGGTTTCACCCATGCGTGATAGTGTTTTCTTAAATACTTAAAAAGCAATAAAGTTGTATGTCAGGAATGGGTTTCTCCATGTGCCCAGCCGTTTTAGATACTCATACATCGATAACATCGACATACGTTGTGTATTTTGATAGTAACTAAGGGGTACCATATGTTTAACATCCATGACAGAAAAATTTAAAAAGCATAACTAGCCATAAGCTACAACTGTGACCATTTTAGTTCTGCCAAACACACACAGAGCTAAAATTAAATTATATTTTGTTTTATACAGTCAATGCAGCACAACAGCTGATTTGTCAGATTGTTGCTGTCATGACCAAAGACCAAAGTCATTTAAACACATATTTTTATTTGGGTTAGCAATTTACCACAATTAGGAAAATTGTGTTGCTGTCCAGATAATTGGACTTAACTGCAGGCATTGTGGTTTAAGTGCTTTTGCATTTTCAGCCACTACGACATGAGCCCTAATGCCTATGCAGTTTACAAAAAAAGTCTTTTGTGCCTACTTCTGGGGATTTGCGTAAAAAAGTTGAATTTCCTTTCCTGCAAACACGATCCCTTAGTGACTGCATGATGCTACCTAGATGCTTTTTTTTTTTTTTTTTTGGTTCAAAAAGTGTATGCTTAAATTTAAGTAACTTACTATTTTAAAACAGTCATTTCTGGTCACTGACCCAGCGTGGGGTGACTTTTTTTGTTGTTTTGTTGTTTGTTTTTCTTGATTACTCTAAAGCACTTATCAGCTTCCTGTATGTCACAAGAAATGGGCCAATGACAACGCTTTATCTCTGTGGTTGCTGAGGTACAGAGATGGTCTCAAATATTTCATCATATCTGAGACAAGCAGGAAAACAGAAACAAAGAGAAGGATGTCTGAGTCAACACGAGAACCTCCGCTCTGATGAATCATGGATTTGGGCAGTGACAGCAGCCTCACTGTGCAAAAGCAGTTGTTCTTTTTGTCCACATAGTGACCCCCAATTACTGAGAAACAGACAGCACTTTTCAGAAAGAAAAACATTTAAGAGCTAAACCAAAGAAAAACACAATTGTTGACCGAGCAGAAGTGTGGTTTTTTAAAAGCTGCGTTTTGACTGCTTGAATTGTATTCATAAACATGCATTTGTATAGTCTGGTCTGATAGTATAATCTAATGTCCACAATAATTTACAGTTTAACCTGCTTTAATAAAATTTGAATGTCAGTATATGTAGAGCATCACAAACCTTCCTGTGTGACATGTGACCTGAGTAAATGTTCTACCTCACTTAGTGTTGTAGATGAGTAAGATATTTCCATCCCTGGGTGTTTTCTTCTCTTTAATTAAACTCCTAAGCCTGTAACAATACAGCATAGGGTAACAAATAAACACACTTAGAGGTTTTGCTCAATAATACACGCCACCCACTCATGTTTTTGCGGTATCTTTCTTATCACTGTTTGACGTGACTCTGACGGTGTTACTAATTTGTAAATATCTTGTTTGTAGGTGGAGCAGGTGCGGCTGGTGGATCGCTTCAGCAACAAAACAACAAATGGCACATTGTACCTCACAGCTACACATCTAATCTTTGTGGAAAGCAGCTCCAACAACTCCACCTCAGCTGCACAGGAGATCTGGGTAAGGGGATATGATGGTGACTGTTGTGACTCAGAGTTCTTCAAAATATAGATACATCAGCTCCTGGTGGGTCCAGTGAAGATTAATGACTGTCAGTGTGAACACAATCACCTTCACAAATCACCATTGAAAGTTTAGACACACACCAGTAGACAAACTTAGATAAAGCAACAAAAACACTACTGTGAACCTAAAACGTTACTTTTCTTCATATATCACCATAGTCATGAACATCCCTCTCTCTGTTTTAAAGTCCTGAATACCTTTGTTTAACTTTGCAAATAAAAATGTAAAACAAATGAATGGTGCACTCTCGTGGGATTACTGCGACCTTTATGACAGAGTAGTAAAAATAGTACACAGCCCAGTAGCTGGCCTACACTGTGTTAATGTTTGCTGCGTTATAAAGTGCTGGAAGCAGCAGATTTTTCCTTTCTCTTTTTTGCCTCGTTTCCCTTTGAACATCACTCTACTTTGTCATTGTCCATTGTTTTCTGCTGTTTTTTGTACAGCGTGGGATTTGGATCACCACTGTTTTTGTGATAACGCCTTGGCTCATGTACACAAAATTCTAAGACCTGATAAAAATAATAAATAAAAATAAATAAATAAAAAATACCTGATAAATGGTGAATTAAATGGGAAACTTCAGGACTTTTGAACAACAAATTGGTTTTAGTTAGGTTGCCAAAAGCATAGAAGAATGTTCAGAGATACAGTGCCTCTGTATAACTGCAGGCAATGTGTCTGTTACTGTGAGTTGTTTTAGAGTTGAGTTGTTTTACTTCATAACAGAGTTGTTTTACTTCATAACAAAAACTTTTCTGTCTAAATGTTTTCTTTAAAAAACACGTGTTTGAAGCCTATGTCATAATTTGTCAAAAATTTACAAGAAATATAAGATAATTTGTAGCAGTGAATATCACATCACTGCTTCAGCATCCTTGCAGTCATTAGGATTTCAGTACTGCAGTGAGAGACCCAGATGTCTGTCTGTAAAAGAGAAAGATTTCATCTCATGACCTAATTTTTCAGCTTTTCTATTTTGTCTGATTATCTTATCTTCAGATTTTGCATCATCATATAGCCTCTGTGGAAAAGCTCTCCTTGACCACCACAGGCTGTCCTCTGGTCATCCAGTGTCGGAACTTCCGGGTGGTGAACTTTGTGGTGCAGAGAGAAAGAGACTGTCACGACGTCTACAGCTCGCTCCTGCGTCTTCTACGGCCAGGTTGGCGTCAACGATTTTGTTTGTGCTTATGCTATAAATGTAACAACATGTTTTTTTTCTCATCTCCCTCTCTGTCCAGTTTCTTATGAGGAGCTCTACGCTTTCTCCTACAACCCCAAACAGAATGACCAGCAGAGGGAAGAAGGGTGGCAGCTCATTGACCTGGGGGCAGAGTTTGAGAGGATGGGTGTCCCCTGTGACCAGTGGCAGCTCACTGATGTCAACAGAGACTATAAAGTAGGCCATTATCTGTAATCATCAACTGTAAGAGGAAGGATGGAGATTAATGTTTACAGATAAATGTAGTGTCATGAGTGATAAATGACAGCATTAGGGACATTTTGTTTTTCTATGGTTTTATGTTGTTTAGATGATTTTGTGTTTTGTATTGCAGGTGTGTGAGACATATCCACGGGACCTGTATGTTCCCATTACAGCCAGTAAACCTATCATTGTGGGAAGTTCTAAGTTCAGAAGCAAAGGACGCTTCCCTGTACTGACTTACTTTTATCAGGAGAAAAAGGTTTGTAAATGACCGGTTGTGTGTTGTAGCAGTTTACAGAGAGAATATGTGTAGGACTGAGAAGTGTTTCCTTTCATCTCCATCATGTCTTTTTGGCTTATGCAAGGATTGGCCACAGGGAGGCAGTAGGTTAAGATAATGTTCATCCATGTGTTACGTTAAGCCTACTGTGACTCCACATTTAAATTGAGGATTTGTCTTTTATTTAACAGAAGTACAGCAAGAAATCTTCTCATTAGACTTAGTTTTCTACTTCACTAAACTCTTCTTATCTCTTTAGGCGGCAGTGTGTCGATGCAGTCAGCCTCTCTCTGGTTTCAGTGCCCGATGCTTGGAAGATGAAAGCATGCTGCAGGCCATCAGCAAAGCCAATCACAACAGCCGTTTTGTTTATGTCATGGATACAAGGCCAAAGGTGTGACACATAATCTCAGAGTAATTAAAAAAAGGAAATAGGAAATATATATATATATATATACAGTATATATATATATATATATTATATTTAATTATATATTTTTTTAAAAAACACACCTGCAGTTGAACGCACTTGCAAACCGAGCAGCGGGTAAAGGCTATGAGAATGAAGACAACTACTCCAACATCCGCTTCCAGTTTGTTGGTATTGAAAACATCCACGTGATGAGAGGCAGCCTGCAGAAACTGTTAGAAGGTTAATGTCATCAACATACAGATAAAGAAAACACCACCAACTTTTCATTTATACATTTCATGCTAAAGCTTAATGTATTCTCCCACAGTGACAGGATCCCGCTCTCTCTCCATGAGTGATTACCTGGTTGGTCTGGAGAGCAGCGGCTGGCTTCGGCATATAAAGGCTATTGTCGATGCAGCTGTGTTTCTCACAAAGGTAATTATCTACATGTTTTTTTTTTGTTTGCCTTAAATTGCAATGTAAATGTATCCAGGGCATCATTCACTTTCACTGTATGTATTGTAATCAGTGTATTAGTATTACCATGTTTACCTTTTTAAATTGGAAATGTCAGTGGCTTACCTTGAGTAGTAGACCATTATTGCTAAGCGTTCCTGAGTTTCCGCTGTCTTTGTTTCCACTGTCAGGCGGTGACCGCGGAAGGAGCAAGTGTCTTGGTTCATTGTTCAGATGGATGGGACCGAACAGCTCAAGTCTGCTCTCTGGGGTCGTTGCTCATGGATCCGTACTATCGTACCATCAAGGGTTTCATGGTATTGAATAAACAAACACAAACACGTGCAGTAAAGGGGCAGAGTGAACTACATTTGTAAAGTAAAGTGAAGTTTT